CTCTGCCTGCTCCGCCATGGCCCCCCGCTCTGCCTGCTCCGCCATGACCCCCCGCTCTGCCTGCTCCGCCATGGCCCCCCACTCCTGTTCCTCTTCACGGGCCTGGCCCTCCGTCCCTCCCCCAGTTCCGCCTCCACTCCACCACCCTCCTGGACTTTTTTGGATTTTGTTTGGGCGTCTGGAGCCGCCCTTAGAGGGGGGGATATGTAATGTGGTGGTTGGGTTTTGTCATGTTCATGTTTTCATGTCTTTTATTTTGTAATTGTTTCACCCTGTTAATGTCATGCTTCCCTTGCCCTCATGTATCTCTGCCTCGTGTATGTGTCATATTCTGATTGGTTGTCCTAGTCATGTGTCTTGTTTCCCATTGGTTTGTTCTTGTCATGTGACCCTCTTGTTTGCTATAAGTAGCCATCATGGTGCCATTGTCTGTCGTCTTGTATTGATGTTGTAACCTGCTGTCGGTGAGTCTAGTCTGTTCATGCCTCGTCAAGTCTGTTCATGTCAAGTCAAGTCTGTTCATGTCAAGTCTGTGTCTCTAGTCTTTGTCTGTTTGGATTGTTTGGATCACTGTAAATAAACTGCACTTGGGTTCTTCACTACGCTCGCCTTCAGTGGATGATTCGTTACAATACTCCTCATTTTACTTATGAAGTATCTATGAAGAATCTTATGAAGTTTGCTCAGCAGCAATCTGTGTGTGTTGCTTCAAGAAAGTGAATATATATCAGCTGTTCTATTTTCTTAATTTGTTTTATTAATTTCTTTTTTTATTTTACTGTTTTTATTGCTCTTGTTGTTTAATTTCATGATTGTGTGGTTTCAAGGGATATTTATCTTCACAAGAGAACTTGGAACTCTCAATTTCAAGGTTTTTAATGTTGTTGTTACGAAGCAGTAATTTTCCCATGCTTTTGGTATAATAAAACTTGTTGGATTTGTACTGGTCAGACAAAGTACAGGATGAAGTTGTGTCTAAACACAGTCCAAATGAAGTAGGGATGAAGTCTGAGCTTTAAGCATATGCAAATATTATTTAATAAACCCTGCTTAGTTTTTATATTCATCAATTCATCTCTTGCTTTCTGCCCTTCCCTTCCCCATAAAATTACAGTCGACCCACTGATGTCACATGGACTATTTTAACAATGTCCTTACTAGCTTTCTGGGCCTTGAACATGGTAGTTGCATTGCTGTCTAGGTGGGGTCAGAAAGCTCTCGGATTTCATCAAAAATATCTTAATTTGTGTGCCGAAGATGAACGCAAGTCTTACGGGTTTGGAACAAATATGAACCCAGCAGTTTCACGTCTCCTCTGCCTGCGTCAGGGCGGCCGGGCTATAGAGGAGTATGTGGCCGATTTTTGTGAGGTATGTCACTTTGTGGATTTTAATGACGTGACCCTCAAAGACATTTTTTGTTTTGGTATCGATGAACCCCTTCGTTCGAGTTTGCCAGGGGGAACTATTTGTTGGTCACTGGAATGTCATATTGACTTTGTTCTGTTGTTGGCTGGATCACCATTCACTGTGGGAACTGTGGATGATGGTACCCACAGTCCCGCAGCACCTACCAAGCCACAGCCTGCTCACATCATGCCTGCTGCTCCAGGACCTGATCACACCATGCCAGTTAAGTCAAAGTTTACTCATGTCATGTCCACCGGGCCTTGAACATGGTAGTTGCATTGCTGTCTAGGTGGGGTCAGAAAGCTCTCGGATTTCATCAAAAATATCTTAATTTGTGTGCCGAAGATGAACGCAAGTCTTACGGGTTTGGAACAACATGAGGGTGAGCATGGGTGACATTTGACACGAGTCAGAGGGCCCTACCAAGCATCGCAGACAAGCATCGGTTCCAGAATAAATCACTGAAGCATTTTTGTCCCGTCCATCGCTTTGGTTATCACCAGATGACGAGCACTTCCTGTGTCTATTTGCCTCTTTAAGATGAATCGCTTGATGTATTCCCCAATTGTAAGTCGCTTTGGATAAAAGCGCCTGCTAAATGAATAAATGTAAATGTAAATCACTGTTATTTCGAGAATGAATCCAGAATAAATATGCGGATGTCATACCCCAAAACGTTGCAGCATGTATGTGTCCGAAAAACTAAAGTTTCATACAAATTCTGAATGGATTATAGCTTAGAAAGCATGCAAAGCACGTTCTCAATATTATCACTAAACACGTCACTCATCTTAGTTCATTGCGATGTCACAACGTTCCATTATAATCAATGAAGCTCTCTAAACTACACAATGAATCTCTTATTTACATCATGTCTGCGCTTATGAGATGATTCACGAGCGTGCAAAACTCCGCCGCTTTCAGAGGTGAGTGATTTTTGAAAACTCAAATGTTTCTGATTGGCAATTGCGTTGAAGAAATCAACAGATATGTCTGTGATTGCTCAACATTGCTCAATGCTGCAAAAACACATTGGATAGTTTGCCAGATCTTTAATTGCTTGTGCTTTCGTTTGAGGGTATTTAGCGCTGTCTAGTAACCCCGTACAACCGGGCCTGGGCTTGGCTAACCGCTCCAATTGCAGCAGGGCTGACATCGGGGATTCCATGACTAATGATATGAGGGGCAATTGCCCCCCTTGCCCCCCGCTAATGTTGCCCATGAGGGTGAGTAATTAATGACAGAATTTTCATTTTTCATTCCCTTTAAGTTTTGTTAATTGATTTTGGGTATCAGACAAGACTTGCTGTTAAAGGAATAGTTCACCCAAAAATGTGCTAAAAACCAGAAAAAGCAGCATTATGGACAGAGGATTTGAAGCAATAATTTGAAGTTAAGAAATCTTAATGATGGATTTATTACAAACATGCTTTTCACTTCACAAGACAATAATTGATGGACTGGAGTTATGTGGATTACTTGCAGATTATTGTGATGTTTTTATAAGATGTTTGAAGTCATTCTGACAGCACCCATTCACTGCTCATCCATTGGTGAGCAAGTAATGCAATGCTACATTTCTCCAATTCTGTTCTGATTTTTTACAGATTAGCTGTAAGCACATTGTGAAGGGCTGGACCTCCAGCTAGTTGGAGGGTTTCTTATTATTCTTTTATTCTTGTAATGTAGGATCAACATTGTGATCACCTCTTTAAGCTCTTCTAAATGGGCATGTCAAGTCACGCTTTAGTAGAACAGAGACATACCAGGCTGCAGTAGAAGGACTAGCTCAAAAGCTTTGAGATTCATCATCAGCGTGAGCTTTTTCACTTAGCTGTTTACCTTTTGCACTGCTGAGATGTGATCAATGGTGCTGTCATAGATAATCTATTTGAGTGGAACAGAGGAGCGCCTTTATGCCTGTGATCTATGGGGATAATTCGTGTCGCTGTAGCTAAACACCCTGCTATTTGTTCCCAGATAATGAAGGCCCAATTCTGTCCTGTGCCTTAGCCATTAGCAGCTAACCCCCTCACATTGACTGCGGCATATTGGGGAACGTCACAATAATGCTTCAGGAGACTCAGGAGTCTGTATTTAAATCGGCTGATGAGCTTCAATCCGTCAGCGTGGCCTTAGAGGCGGGACGGAGGGACAAAGAGAAAGTCAATCGACCTTGTCCGGGACACGTACTTGATGTTGATGTTGGCACAGATGAGCATGTCACCGAATAGAAAGACTTTTCGCTCCTTAGACTTGAGGACCTGTCCTCTTTCGCCGTACACCATCTCAATCAACGTCTCGCAAAGGATCAAAGAGCTCTGCTCGGAGTTCAGCAGCTGAAGAAAAGACAGGGGAGACACTGATTACACGTAAATCTTACAAAATAGAGGCGACCAATTACATGACTACACACTTACTTAGAGGCCACAGCGTGGCATAGAAGACACTTGAAGGTTCACAGGGAGGCAGTGCAGAAGATTGGAAACACAGCAGTACATTTGTAGCAGAAAAGGTTGTGGAAATACAACCCAATCTTAAAGATACTCATCACAAATAGGACTGAGAAGTACAGACTCTCATCTACAAACTATATAAATTTGGATGTGCACTACAAAAATTGAGGATTTCTAAAAGTTGTAATTATATTAGAACCGTAAAGTAAATAACTGTTTTTTTATGTAAATGGTCCTTTTCATTAGGGTTTCATATACCATAAACCTGTACTTTCAATGCTCCATCTGCTCCAACAATTTGATATCAATGAGAAACATTTTGAGTTTACTGCACTAAAAATTACAGAGGAAACATTTAAATTATTATAATATTTTAGCAAAGGTTTGGAGAATAATCATAATTATATTGTGAGAGTCCTTTTCTTTAGTGAATAAAACTCGAAATGTGTTTCTAGGTCAATGTGACCAAAAATTATGTTATGCTGGACTTTGTTTTTTGAAAAGAACAAAAAAAAAAAAAAAAAGTCATAAAATCTGTTTTTTGTGACCATCTGACAGCCCTAATAATTTAGTCACATTTTCTTTTTTAAAGGCTTAAAGGGATAATTCACCCAAAAATGTAAATTCTTTCATCATTTATTCACCCTACGCAGTTCCAAACCTGTAGGACTTTATTTCTTCTGTGCACACACAAAAGAAGATATTTTGAGAAATGCCTCAGTGTTTTTTTGTCCATACAATGAAAGTCAATGGTTTTAGTTACAAACAACAAAATATCTTCTTTTGTGTTGCACAGAAGTAAGTCATACAGATTTGGCGATGAGGTTGTGTAAATAATGACAGAATTGTATTTTTTGGGTGAATTATAATTTTTGCACCAACATCACCAAGCAGAACTGCAAAAAGGTTGATTGTTTCCAAACAGGTTTCCTGAACACCACCATCTCTCAACAGACAGACCCACTCCAAACTGTGTCAGGCCTGGCATGCACACTGCACAGTTAATTTATGCACTATATAGTCATTCTATATTTATCCATAATGCATGAAAAGACATATCATTTGTATTGTGTTAGGAGACAAACCAGAGTTCATCCTCATTACATCACCAATAACGCACAAGCAGCATCACAGCAGCAAAACCCAATGTCCAGCGGCTCAAATAAATATTGCTTGCTGGTGTTTGATCAGTCAGGAGAGTAGTTTTATAAATAATGCATCTGCTTCTGTAGCCCGCATCACACAAAATGAGTCGCCGGATCCAGAGGGAATTGGCAACACTGCTTGGCCTTTGTTGAAATGCATTGAAAAATTAGACCTTCAGTCAGTCAGAAGGCATGCTCCAGGTGCTGTGTTTTTATAGTAAGAGCGCCACCCAAAGGCTCAAAAGGCAAACGGAATGTTGTGGGGGAAGGACAGATATCCTTTTTAGGGACTTGAGAGTGTGACTGAAATGGTTTGTAATGTTTGTGTGTGTGTGAGAGAGAGAGAGAGTAAGCGACAGTGGTGTATGTGATGTGCTTGCTGAGGAGCGACAGGGAGACGCTGCAGTCTTAGCCTGTGCAGCATACTATATCTGCCGGCCTACTAACTCAGATAGTCTGAGACAGACGATGAATATTTCATTGCGTGTATATGGGGTAATAGAACTGACTGTTTCACACTGGAATGCAGCTTAAATCCCTGAAAAAAATGGTAAGGTTGAAGCCACTGCACAGTAGGTAGTGCACAGAACACATGCTCATTACATACACAGTAAGAGTGGTTGTGCACACAGGGATACAGGTTCAAAACCTCCCCATCTCTCCCCCCACTTTCTCATCACTCTCGACTTTATGTTGAAAAGGCCATAAAGATAAAATCAAACAAACAACTGGAGAAAAGCTGCCTTGCTGTCAAACTTCCTGCATACTGTAGGAAGCTTTCTTGCATGTTAACTGAAATTCAACTTCATGAAAAAATATGGTATTTTTTATATCTGAATTTCACAAAATACAATTTAATGGCATATTTTATAGATTCCAAATTGAATTTTGTACATTTGAATTCCAGACAAGTAAAATTACAAATTAGTTTTCATTTTAAACAGCAGTTTTTCGTTCTCAATTTTTTGAGGAAAAATCAGTTATGAATGTATGTGTATATATATATATATCAAACAGCTCCTATGTCATCACAAATTGTTTGGGAGGATTTCAAGACAAAATCTTGGCTAATGGAGGCTGCAAAAAGTATTGAATAAAAAGGGGCCAATAATATTAGCCAACACGTATATGAGAAAAAAATATTTCATAATAAGATTTCTCCACAACCAATTATTTTACTTCAATGAAAGGTTTGAGTTTTGTGAATTTTTTGAATGAAAGATCAGTTAAAAAAAAAACAATGCAGATTTATTTTTGCAGCCTTCTTTGCTCATATGCGACCCTGGTAAATTGTTTTTAAATTGAGATGTATAGATCATCAGAAAGCATGAATAAAAGCAAGAAGCATGAATAAATAAGCTTTCCATTGATGTATGGTTTGTTAGGATAGGATAATATTTGACCGAGATATAACTATTTGAAAATCTGGAATCTGAAGGTGCAAAAAAATTTAAATACTGAGAAAATCGCCGTTAAAGTTGTCCAAATGAAGTTCTTAGCAATGCATATTACTAATCAAAAATTAAGTTTTGATATATATACGGTAAGACATTTACAAAATATCTTCATGGAACATGATCTTTATTTAATATCCTAATGATTTTTGGCATAAAAGAAAAATCGATCATTTTGACCCATACAATGTAGTTTTGGCTATTGCTACAAATACCCCAGCGACTTAAGGTTTTGTGCTCCAGGGTCACATATTTTCCAAGGGGGCTAATTATTGTGACTACAACTGTACAAAGGAATGAAATGTCGTGCCTCACAGGACCACAGTGCTACATATTTAACCTGTTAACTGTCAGCTCCCCTTTTTGAGTATAGACCTACAAATTACATTTCCAACTTAAATTGCTATAAATCTTGAATACTTTGAAGCACATACTTAAATTTGATCTCTTTTTAAAGAAGGCAATTGGCAAATTATTGCATAAGTGAAAAAATATGTAAATTAAACTAAAAAAAACGTAAAAAATATTGTAATATTTTATTTAAAATATATATTTTTACAAAACATGATAAACTCTAAAACTGCTAGAAAATCAAAAACAAAAATATGAACAAGTTGTGTTCCAAATTTTAGGTTGATATCTCAAAACAATGAGCTTTTAGTACGTTTTTGTTTGGGATGCAGTACCAAACATTACCACTAGATGACCAGTGACAGTTAACAGGTTAAACATATCTAAACAAATATATCGAACATAAAAAATACATTTAAAAACTCATATGTATATATATTTGAAACCAAAATATACATTTGAATACCCTTCATTTTGAGAGTGGACTTAAAATAGAGAGAGAGAGAGAAATGACTGCAGTGGAGGAAGGCGAGACACATAGCAATATAGAGAGAGATGAAGAGAGAAAGTAAAAGTGAGTGAAAAGTGAACCAAACAAGAGGTACTGAAAGCAACTTTCCAATTAAGTGTCTCATTTACTCTCTTACTCATGGTAATGGAAGAGAAACATAGTGCTGTAGTGAATTAACGGACCATCATTGCTAGCTGATGATTCCATGAAATAAAAAATGCAGGCCAGGTATAAAAGGAGATGGGTCAGTTATTTTCAGGGTCAGCTGTAATATCCAGATACTTGGCAGGCTGTTTAAAGGCTGTTTGTTAGGTGACAGAGACCTACAGTTACCATATGAGCACACATTAAGTTGAGTGTGAGCTTTAAAACACGTTACTAAATTGCATTTAGTCTTAGATTATTAATTAAAGTCCCCCTGTAGTCAAATATTTTATCCCTTAAAACTTAACTTTGATCATCAAAATTACATATTTAAATATTTTTTCTTGTGAAAATAATTTTCTCATGCCTTAAAATAGCTTGAATGTAACTCTACACCCTTGCCTCATTTACTATACGCTGATCTATGAATATGCAAATTAGTCCCGCCTCCACTCCAGTGAACTGTAGTAAACGCAAAACAATGGCATACACGGATAATGACTGATAAAACTATGTTTTTATTAGCGGACAACTACAGTGAATACTGTAACATTCGTTAAAGTTACTTACTTGACAATGTTGTGTCCTAAAATGCCTTGAAGACTCGAATACAGCTGTTTGTGATTCTTAATTCGCGCCCGCGAGCATACGCGTGTGAAGTGCAGACGCCGATGCGGGAGAGGTGCGTCTGACTCCGGGCTACTTTTACACTGTTGCCACGGGTTATAATGCAAGTTAGCGGTTCTAAATTCACATTAAACCACAGCTTCATGGGTTTTTTGCTTTAATTTATTTTTGGTTTTGTGCTGGTATTGTTATATTTTGCATGCTAGTGATAGGAATCGATCCCTTGACGTGATTGGTTATTGGTTTGTGACATAGCAAACCGAGTGCTGTTACAAACCGTATTTCTGGGTCAGCCTTTGGGAAACTACAGTTTTAAGGAGAAAATACTCAGCAATGGTGTTGATTAATAGATTGGCACATGGTTTGTCTAAAGGCATATTAAAAACACCATATAGACAAATAAACAACATAAAAAACTTGATTTTCACTACAGAGGGACTTTAAGCCAGGTGTACAGTTGCCTTTAAGATGCATGGCTCCAGTGAGACATTTAAAAGTCAACGCAGATTGTGCAACATCGATGGCTTATGTCGAGGTCATGACTGAAAAAAACTGCCCTGTTGTTCTACATCATTAATCATGTCACGTTCTGACATTCTGATGGACAGAAAAGTCCATCTGTTGTGGCTGGACAAAAGTGGGAATTTGTGAACTTTCTTGAAGTGATTTTATGAAATCATAAGGTGAAGGGAATGCTAAATAAAATATTTATGATGAATAATATACAGAGAAGCTAGTATCAACATTTTAACTGAACACCTCTCTCTTTCCTTCACTCTCTCTCTCTCTCACACGGGGGTAACAGTAGCAATCACACCGGTTAGGATGATTCAAAGGGCCCTGATATGAGAGGGGGCCGACACAAACACCAGAGAATGTGATTTCTACCGAGGGGGGCCTGAGTCAATATGCTGTTCAGGGGGCCCAGAAACCATAGTGGTGCCCCTGCTCAGAATTATTTGTGGTAATGCAGTTAATTGGCCATTAGCGAACCTCCCGCAATAAACTTCTCTAATACAGATTTAGCTTTACACACATACACTACTAAAATGTTTTTGAAGAAGTCATACCGCTAACCAAGTCTGCATTTATATCCAGAAAAAAACAGCAATACTGTGAAATATCGACCCAAACTTTTCAACGGTAGTGTGCAGTGGATCCAAAAACAATTCTGAAACCTACGACACATTAAAAAATGTATGAAGTTGGAAAAGTTACAAATGAAAAAAAAAAAAGACATTTCACAAAAGAAGAGTTTTTTTAGGTTTCAAATTATAAAATAAGACATTATAAGACAAAATTAAGACAAAAAGCATTGTTACACTTTCTGGTTGTCAAATGCAAGTGTAACATGTCCATTGTTAATGTGATGAACCATAGCTGTAGCTGAAAAAAGCTGTGTGAACATGATGACCTCGAGACCAGCTGGTGAAAAGCAATTGCAAAAATGTCTAAGAACAGGGAAGTCGGAAAGAAACCATGAAATGGTTTTCGGATTAGGAATTGCACTGTTGTGATTACATCAAGGCAACAGCATCCTGCTATCACAGCTGAGTAACTGTGCGCATGCTCGTGCTTTTCTCACCTTGCTGAGAGAGCGGTCACTGACACAGCAAGCCAGCTGCTGTGTCTCAGTGATCTGATCAGCCACCCTTTTCTGCTCATTGAGTTTCTCAGCAAGGGTCTCCAATTCAGTCAGAGCCAATTGCAAGGGCAGCCTGTCCACATGGCCAGTGGGAGTGTTCTTCAGCATATCCTAAAGGCAAAGAGAGAGGGAATGATTCTAACAGCAAAGAACGTAAAAAAGTAAAAGGGACTCACTTGAGGAAGCTAATGGAAGAGATTAATGACTGCACCTCTACTGCACAGACAACACATTAGCCATTGTGATGTACTATATCACTGTTAGCATTCATTTAAAGCTGCTGGTACCTTTACTCCCACTCAAGAGCAAGAAAAGAGGGTCAAAATAACAGTACCATCTCACGTTCAGGAGAGAAGCATGTTACCAGCCCTCTGGGAATCATTAACACACTGTGCACTGAAACAACAGTCGTTCACAAATTCTCTCTGAGAAACAGCGGAGAGAGAGAAGAGGACATAGACAGTGCAGACAACTTCATATTTCCAGTTATGCACTTTGCTCATTTATTCAAAAAATAGTTAGCCTAAACTGTCATATTAGCTGTCATACCAGTATTAATTAAATTTACAACTTTGTGGAGTCAAGAGACAATTTAACGAAGTACAAGAGGCCAGTACTTTATTTATAACACCCTTGCATTAATAACACCTAAGCTGTATGCATTAATGGTGGCTTGATCAATTTAAAAGTTCTATAAATGGCAATAATTATATTTTATTTCTACATATTAATGTTAGTTAATAAAAACTCATTTTCAAATACTATAATACAAGTAGTTTTCTTGGTAATCTAAACATACTGAAAAATTTGCTCATAATAATGATTAATGTTTTCTTTATATTCAACGGCAATTTGTTGTTGCTGTTGTTTTGTTTGAAGCATAAATCAAGCACTTGACTTCAGCTCTACTTGGTATTCAGTATAAAAATGTGCCAAGTTTAATGTCGCCATTGCCAAATGTCATTTGTCCATGTGGATGTCAAATTACCAATTGTGACTGCAATAAGAATGAAACGTGGAAAAACAGAGTAATCGATAACTTAAATTACTTAAAAAGTCACTGTTCTATTACACTTTTATTGCACATATATTGAACCATTATATGGAAAAGAACAGCTTAGACATTCTGCCTAACACATCTTTCTATTTCTATTTCTTTCTATTTCTGTTTCTAATAAGATGCGTCTGTTTGTGGTTGATTCAGGCCACTAAAAAGTAGGAAGCACATAAAGGTCTCAGTCTGTCATCAGATCTTGTTCTGTTTAATGTGTGATTAAACACAGGCTACTTCTCAAGTCAGAGAAAAAAAAAAAAAAACTTATTCCCATTCATAACTTATCTATCAAAATTCATGGGTAATCGATGCCTACTGAGGTATGAAATTAAGTGCCACAGCACTTCTCCTGCATGGGGAATTTCAGTGGTGAATTCCTCACTGTTCCTTGTCCATAAAAATGAACAGAAGTGAAGGAAGGACATGAGAGAGATCAAGGCAGTAGTACAAACTGTTTGACGATGTAAATTTGGTGAATTCATGACATTTCACTGTCACCTGAGACCCACTGGCTGAAGAGGTCAATGTGATATTTCTATAAGTAGATCTTGATAATGCTCTGACATTTTGGCACGTGACTTGTTTGTGTGACAGAATGAACATTTTAAGTGTTTATTTATTTAAAATTACAATGTAATTTACTCACCCTCATGTCGTTCCAAGCCCATTTGACTTTTTGGGCACAAAAGGAGAAATATAGAACAATGTGCTAAACATTCATTTTTACACACTGAAAGTGAATGGGGACTCAGACTGTCCATGTTTCAAAATTGTAATTTTGGTCCAAATGCACTATATGGAAATTAGTTACAAGCACATTCTTCAACATGTTTTCCTGTGGATTTCACAGAAGAAAGTTAGTTTTGGAGTGAACTGCCTCATTTATGCAAGCAATGTGCGTGCTTGCTGGTTTATTCAAGTTCTCTCAATAGGAGTCTTGACATACACCCAATTCTGTATCACGGCCATAAGCCAAGGGAAGAGCAAACCTGTGAGCCAATAGGCTGCAAGAAGACCTGGCATGGTCTTAGCCAGTCATTCAGCTTCTAATAGACTTGCTTGGCATCTAATTTCCAGTTACTTAAAGGAGCATGACCCCTCAAGCACTCTAAACGACAGCACTGTGTGAACAGTTTATGGATAAATACTGACCTGCAGGAGGAGGATGAACTGAGGAAAACGCTGAATAGGCTTTACCATCAGACCATAGAGAGTTATGCGGTCAATGCTGGATGCCTGCTTCTTCTGCAAGCGTAAAAAGATGCAACCACATATTGAGAGAAAGGCAAAGGAAGAGAAAAAGGCAGACATAGTAATTTCCACATACAGAGCAGAAGAATCTTGACACTCAGGGGAGTCAGAGGTGGGTGGAGGTTAGCATTACACTATTGATTCGTTCATGCCTGCCAGCAGACTCTGGCAATCATTAGACTGCGCACTGTCAGGGAGTAGGTGTACTTGATAACCCTCCAGCAGATTTCAAAGCAAGGATATTAGACTATGGTCAACTAAGCATTTGTGGAGTTCAGTAGCTTTTACAGATGTTAAAGATTCAAGTCACCGTGGAAATTTGTTGTCATTATAACACTACACACATTTTTTGCGGTTTATGCAACTTTAAAGAACAGATAACCTCAGTTTCACATTTACAAGGTAAAATATTTCTAAGAAAAAAGCAACACTTATAATCCATTCAGAATATAAGTGGCTTGCCTGAAATGCTGCAAGCGAAAGATGTTCTCTCTCTCTCTGACTCACCTCAAAACTATTCAAATTAATGTCTAATGAATTCTTGTGTTTTTAAATTAGTCTTTCTGACTAATTTTTCAGTTAAAATATCAAGTAATTCTTGAAAGAAGGTAAAATTGCTTTAGAAGAAGCGCTGCTTTAGATACTGGGACTTTTTGGAGAATATATCTTTACTTTTTTTACTTATTTGATACACTTTTTGAAATGAAATGCACTTATATTAAATATATTATTTTCTAAAATGAAAAAGGAGATATCTTTAAAGTCATTGCAAAATATCTTCTGTTATGTTCCACAAAAGAGAAAAGTCATGTTTTGAACAACATGAGGGTGATTAAGTGATAACAGAATTTTTGTTTTTGAATGAACTGGAAAAGTAAAAAGTACAGGAACAGTAACAGAAACAGGAAAAACAGACAAGAAAGAAGTCAATAATCCATATAGCAGCACAGCACAGCAGTAGTGGTGGTGAACAGAGGTGATTTAGGGTGAAACTTGCATTTCATGAAGAGGATATTGACAGCAAATATCAGCTCTTACCTTGAGAAACTCCAGAAATGCTGGTTTAGACATGCAGGCTTTCTTAATGAGGGCCATGGCATTGGTGAAATTATTGATGTAATCACTATATATGTCCAGCACCATGGATTTCGAGAACTAGAGGAATGCAGAGAGAAGATATTTATACAAACACATGTTCAGAGAAATCACATTTAATTTGGTTTTCTGTTCATTTTCTTCTTTGTTTAAAGCAGCTCTCAACATGAACAGTTTCTCCTGCTGAAACTGCTCTTGAATTTTGCTGTCGTGGTGGGCAGCCCACTCTAAAGGTGATTACAGGGCAAAGGAATGGAAGTAAACAGTAATTTCAATGTGGTATTTATGCAACGCAGCACCACTTTTTGCCATCCCAGGGACCTAAACATCTTTGACAGTCCATTACTGCCAGGTGTTTTAGAGCAGGCAAAATGGCAGCCATCCATTCGCTCTGCTTTGATTGAAGCTGAACAGACCTGCTGAAAGCAGCAGTGCTCGCAGGACTTGGAGAGGACATTAACGAGCCACAAACAGACGTTATCCCCTGTCAAACTCTACCTCCCCTTTGGGGACGCCAAGTACGGAAGGAAATGATACACGCGGGTAAATATGTTATTATCAACAAACACACATACAGGGCAAATTTACGAAACAGTTGCAGCACCTTGCAGCGAGCAGTATTTCAGTGCAAAATCTATTAGGATTGTGCTATGAACAGCTGTTAAACAATTCGCAATTCTTTTTAGGTTTTTAGCAAATTAGTGTCTAATTTGTATGAATTCATACAATCTCATTCTCATTTTATTTGTATAGCGCTTTTCACAATACACATGGTTTTAAAGCAGAAAAAAAACAGAAATCATGTTAATGTTGTAATATTTTACGTCACAATTAGCTGATGTGAGATGGGTGATAATATACAGTAGTTTACATTTTGCAATGACAAAAAAAACAAGCAGTTGAGATTTGCTATACTGTATATATCTCTGCATGTATATACTTACATATCCAACTATTTTATTCATAAGAGAGGTTTGTGTACATTTTCTATTAATCATGGCAAAGTGATTCATCAAACGATGATCCAATAGTGGATAAGACCATCATAACCATATGCACAGTGTAGATGAGCACAATTTCAGCATTTTAAACAGCCAATTTGGGTATTTTAGAGCCATTACCAGATTTTCATAATCAATCAGGTGCTAAAACAACACAGACAATGCATGCAAATAATTTATGCTGTCTTCGTCTGCAGTTCAACTAGGGATGCACGATACTGGAAAAAACTCACATTGCAACATTTTATTTTTCTGCGATATATATTGCGATATGAAAAATAGCTTTGCATAGTCTTCACTGTATAAATTAAATCTAATAAATCTGTGTTAAAGCTACAAAAGTGATTTTTCTTTGTGTTTTGTTGTTTGATTAACATTTATAACACAGAAAGCCTCAGGAACATTAAACTGCTGTAAACCAATATAGGCTACTGTTACATATCCATTTTCTTTCTCAATCGTTTCCCTTCACCTAAGCCATAAGCAACTGCGTTTACAAGGATACTTGCAGATCACAGTATTTCAGGCACAAATAGATGCAGAAGTGAACAGAATTCAGTGTTCACGTGCATATGTGTGGCTCTCACCGTGTCTACACCGGATGTGAGCGGCGCGGTGCGACGCGACAAAATACAATGAACTCATTATAATCAGTGATGCTGTCTGTCTACACTAGATGCGGCGCGGCACAACAAATCCCCGACAGTAAACTAATGCTGCGTTCTCTTTATGACATACTGACACAAAGTTCAAATGATATGCAACGGTCGCGTCCAGTGTAGACAGACTTTGGGGCCGTTCCCATTTCGCGCCTAAAAACACCAGTCGCGCCACTTTTTCCTTCTTTCCAAAGCGCTCAGGAGTTTGCGCTTTCGTGGCACCTGGCATTGCTAAACAACCGTAATGTATTTAAAATGGGTATCTCTGTACAGCTGTCGCGTCCGGTGTAGACACCGTGTCTGTGTGTGAGCCAAGAAAACAATCAGTATAAATGTAACGATCAGTAGCCTATACTAAATATCACACATCCTGCAATGTGACTATCGCGGATGCGCACATCACGATATCGATGCTGAAACGATATATGGTGCAGCCCTAAGTTCAACCATATTAAATTCGCCCCAAAGTGTGTACATATGCACTCAATAACAGAAGAACTGTGCAAACGGATGCAATATGATGTGTTATGTGTTTTGTGGGTATTTTCTGCTCTCCAATGCACAGCAGTGCAACTTCAGCTTTAAGTGTTCTCTCTATGGTACTTCTTTGTGCTCCAGGGACTTTGTAAAGACCAGTAGTGCTATGCAATAAAAGCAGGTCAGACAGGCCAAACTCTATCTTTTAACGGAAGAATAATGAGAGCAGCTTATGGATGCTGCCTGTGAGGAGGGTCACTACAGAAACCTCATTCATTAGTCCATTAGACGCCCTGCAACCCAGTGGTGCCAACACACTTACTTTGGTAAAAGACAGCCATCCTCACTCATAGTAATTGGCTGTGCTTTTGAAGTAAACTGGAGCAAAACACTATTAGTACCTGAAACAGCTTGCCAACAGAGAAGCATAATAACACACAATGCTCAGTGTTCTGTAGTTTAGTTTAGAGGTCAGTCATTTTCAAGTATTTTCCTACTCACTGAAGCTACAAACAGGTCCCCAATCTTTTCACAAGAGTCCCATTCGGCCACCCGAGATGCCAGGGCAATCTGGAACATGGAGTGGCACTGCATGATCTCCCGCAGACGGAAAAAAATGGGCCGGATTTTCCTGACACTGAGGATCCGAGGCTCAGCCTCCATCAGAGGTCGCTGGTATTCCTAGAGGACCATAGGAAATGTAGATATTTCTTATGTATGCAATTACTGATTTTTTATATTTATACATGAGGAATAATTCATTTACAGCTCCAACTTGCCTCACCTTGACAAGGAAGTGAGATTAAAAATGTGCTGAATTAATCTTAACAGCAAGGTGGGGAGAAAAAAAATAAATAAAGAAAAATCGCACTATGCATTATCCATTTCATTCATTTGAATACAAGATTCCAAATGTGCAATATGCATACATGAATACATTTTTGGAACAACGCATGTAATGGAACACATGGAGATGAACACACATACATATCTTTTTTTTTTTCAGGGTTTCACTATTCAGTTAGTCTTTGTTATATTGTATGCATCTTGTTTCAAGCTATTGTATAAGACGTCAGATTTATTTAGTCTGTTCAAAAGCTTGTGATCATTAAGATTTTTTAAATGTTTTTAAAAGAAGTCTCTTATGCTCACCAAGACATCATTTATTTGATCAAAAATACAGTCAAAACAGTAATATTGTGAAATATTATTACAATTTAAAACATTTGTAATAGATTTTAAAATGTAATTTATTCCTGTGATGGCAAAGCTGAATTTTCAGCATCATTACTCCAGCCTTCAGTGTCATGTGATCTCTCAGAAATCATTGTAATACGCTGATTTGGTACTTAAGAAACATTTCATATTATTATCAATTTTGAAAACAGTTGTGCTGCTTATAATTGTTTTGGAAACCGTGATCATTTTTGCAGGATTCTTTGATGAAAAAAGTTCAAAAGAACAGCATTTATTAGAAATAGAAATATTTTGAAATAGAAATAAATGTCTTTACTGTCACTTTTGATCAATTAAATGCATTAGCGCTGAATAAAAGTAATTTCATTTATTGATTTTTTTTAATCTGACTCCACATTTTTGAATGTTAGTGTATAATGGTTTTAACGAAAAGATTAAGAAAAGAAAACATTTTAAACATTGACAATAAGAATTGTTAATAATATACTAAGAAGAATTTGAGCATATTAGAATGATTTCTGAAGGAACATGTGACACAAAAGACTGGACTAATGGCTGCTGAAAATTCAGCTTTTCCATCACAGGAATACATTTTTAAAATGTATTAAAAAAAGAACAGTTCTTTTAAAATTGAATATTTCACAATATTTCAAAGACAACTCCTGAAATGTCTCTTAATTCTCCGAAACCTACAACAACACCTAAAAATGCTAAACTGAAATGGAAAGTTAAACCCATATGACTTTCTTTCTTTCACTGAGCACAAAAATATTTGGGCTACTCGTTTGAATTAATATGAAAGCGGTTGTTAAGATCCAAAATGACTTAAAAAATAAATAAAGTATCATGCAGGTGGGTGAAGCATAACAACATTTGGGTGAACAATTTCTTTAAACTGTTCATTTGCTAATGTTAATTCTCTGACATTGGCTTTGACTGTTTTGCAACATTGTCGAATTCAAACTGTGCTCAGTTAAATGTTTGTTTAGGCTTGATTTCCTTAAATTGCAAAACAAGCTAGTGATGTTCATAGATAAACTACAAGACCTAATCTTTAAAAGCAAAGACACTTTACTAGTTAGACTGTGGACACAATAGATTTTTCATGGCTGCTTTCTTTCCTACCCTGTAGTCTCCAGCACTAATGAATTATTGACAAAGAGAAAATAAGACAAAGGATGAGGCAATGGGACTATATCTTTTTCTAAAATGCATCTGCCCACAACGGCACTACTAAACTTAATTATGCAGCCCCCCACTCACCTGCTTTGGGGCCACTTCACCTGATCTAAACACCCTAGACCATGTCTAGCATGCTATAAAGAGAGCAGGAATTGTAAAGTACACCCGGCAGAGCTTTGATTTGACAACAAAGCTTGGAGACAGATCCTGAATGACTGGATTTCATAGAGCGTAAAGCTGTCATTGATCTGCGATTCAATTTTAGACGGTGCCTGTGCCTTCAAAGGAGTGTGATAACAAATGCTTTTCTCTCCAACACTAGCTGAGATCAGAATTATGTGTAATGAAACTCCACACTATGAAACCCACCAGACCTGCATGCTTCCATTTAAAGGAATGTGAATGTGAAGGCAAATTCATTATTAAAGAAAAGTGATAGTGTAATGTTTTGTTTTGAGGCTTTGAATAGCTGGGCTTTCACATTAGGAAGCGTCTTGACATTATTTAGAATCCTTCCAATGACTTTTGTTGTTCAGTCATCGAGACTAAAATAGGGACATTTTGACTAACGTTTACATATAACAAGCATTCTAAGAAACATTAAAGGTGGCAATAATATTTGACTTTAGAATTTTAACTACTTTTTTGAATTTATCCAAGTATGAAGTATAGAAGCATTGAGTTTCAGTTTGATGTTAGCACACACTGAAGAAAAAAAAGACGCTTAATGCTTACCAAAGGTTTTAAAACTGTTATGTGAAAGCATTTTGTCTTTGCAAATTGACCCTACTGAATCCTATCAAAAGCTTTTTTTTTTTCAACAATTTCACCAACACAGCTGTTTTTGGGACAGATGCAGTAGTATTTTACCTGTAGGATCCGTTTAAGAGAGTCCAGGTAACTCCTCTCACTCTGCACAATGGAGCCCAAAACATGGCGTCGGACGATCTGTGGTCAAGACATTTCTTACATTATAAAGCATGTTTTTTTCTTTCACTTTTGATCAGTTTAATGTGCAACTGCTGAATTAAATTATTTCTTCGAACAGTAGTCAATATCTATTGTAAATAATCCATCCAAAAAATTATCTTTTGTAAATTAAGTAATTATATAATTTATTATGTAAATATTTATATTACAGCTGTCATTTATCATTAAATCTAAATTATATGATTTATATTAACAGATGTATCGATGCATTCGATCTATAGATAAAATAGATGATCAACGTATTTTAATGTGCATTATACAACATTTATATTTAGTGGCACAATAACTTACCGTACTTAAACTATGTCATCTGTATAACATAAAACTGTGCTGACTTCTCGCTTAATTTTTGAGCAAGCAAATTTGTTTTTAAACTGTGTTCTTGCCTTTCCACAGTTCATTTTGTTAAGTCTACAATATTGATTTAAATTTGGACAAGATGAAAAACTTTCACAAGAAGCATGACAACTGAGAAATTAAACAGTGACATAGGGCCAGATTTACTAAACAGGGAAAATTAGCATTAGAGCGCAATTCCATAAAAGTGGGAAAAATTCTGCGGCTGATTTACTAACAGTGCGCACATTAAAGAACACAGACGCACGCAGCCAGATCATTTCCATAATGGCCAGCGCAATCTACCAAGAGCAGTGCAAATTACCACCTGCTTTAAGACATGCTTTTTTGGGGTGTTAAATAATGGCGCAAATACCAGTAACTTGACGAGCACAAACGTTAGTAAATCTGGTTGCGTGATTCATTTGAATATTCTTCTCCCATAAATTTTGCGGCTGAAAGGGAAACTCCTACAAATGCAAATTCAATAAGGTCAGGCCCAAAAATAACTGCGTCCACGCCTTTTCAGCACCAATTCTTCAGTGCGTGTCTTTAGTAAATCCTGACAGTACATTTTTAACGGCAAAAGACGGTTTGCTCTGGTGCAAGCTGTTAGTAAATCTGGCCCATAGTATGAATTTGAAAAGAAAAGATCTTCACTTTGGTTGGGATGCAAATTTTACTACCAAATTGATGGGTTCCGTCAAATGTGTGTATTTTGGCATGGACTATGTACACACTCAATTTAAAACGTCAATAAATACATATACACACACCTGCAGGCTGCTAAGCCCATCTGGCATTGGTCCCAGTTGTGCAGGTGGGTGTTTTGCCTCTGATACCATCACATCCAGATACCCTGTATCATCCTCAGTGTCATCTGTCAGGATACACAAAAACACGTTCAAACATACCATATATCCCTGCAAAGCTAAGAATATACTACTATCTTATTACAACTCGGAAGAGATGCTCAAACAGAAAAAAGTACATTCAAAGTACATTGCAAACTCTGTACAGAACAAGCTGTTCTAAGCCACATCCAAACAATCTTTCAATCCACCCGGCTACAAAGGAAAACCATCCGACATACAATTTTGCACCTTTTCCCAAAGGCTTAAAATCTTCACACAAGTTTTTGCAGCATCTCAAAATAATAAAAGAACCTCCAAATCAAAATGTTTAGCACTATACGCAGTGTGGTACCTCATTTAGAGTGCAATTTCAATGGGCATCGCGCCAGTCTCCACTTCCAAAAGGTAATCTTACCCCATTGTGCAGTAGGACATTATGGGACCAATCCCAGCCAATTTTCCTGTGCACCAAATGCCCTCATCAGCTCTTCTCCCTACCTTTTATTTTAAAGACCCAGTCTGATTTATACTGCCTTTCAGCTTCCCAAATATTTCACATCATCTTTTTTTCAGCCTCCAACCTCCAAGGGTCAATTTTCTTTTTAAAAGCAAAATACAAGAAAGCACTGAGAGGTATTGGACTCCATCAGCCTTTTTCTGCCGTGTCTGACTCATGACAGCCAGATCATCTGCCATCTGTAAAGAGGTCTAGCTTAATTTAATGAACAGCCCTGTTCATCTGAGGGGAAAAAAAGCATTAAAAGCAAAAAAGCGTTAAAATGTATAATTGCTTCTTTCCTGAATGGGATTTTTTCTATCAAAGGAAAAGGAATGAGGATGGGTGCTCGAAAGAAGATAAATTCTCTAATGAAATTCTAAATTCTTAGATTACCTGAGTGGTCCTTTTTATGTAGGAATGAAACTCTCCTCATCACAGCGATTTTGGTCTTCTCTAGGCCATCTTTCGTTCCGCTACGTGCCGCCCGCATCAGCTGATGGACCTGCAAACAGAAAATCATAGGCAGCCGAGCTGGAGTACCTCCAAAACCAGTGACGTGGTGGACCCTTATGGAAAAAGGTCGACCATCTCAAGCCCTCGAGCATAAACAGCCGTGCTCGGGTTCACCTGCCATTTGTGAGACTGCCAACTGGTGTTCAGTGCTGTTCCGATGGCCACAAGCCACAAGATCCTAAGCGAGTGAGAGAACATCAAGCTACAGTGATATTTTTATATTTAAAAAAGGAGGGGGCATCCCATCTCTGCGAAAGCAGGTATATAGAGAGCATGTGGAAATGTCTTGCTTGTACCACACGAGAGCTGTTTACTTTATATATACAAGTGTGCCCATAACCCACCGTCATACATAGCAAATTAGACATCAGGAGAGCTGAAGCAAAATGGAGTGTTTTATAGTGGAAGCGATCTGAACGGTTTGTTTACAACAGTGTAAGAAAAAGTGAGAGAGTACGGTGGCCCAGTAGTGCACAACACAACAAAATCTCCACAACCCAACGCATAGGACCAATTTCATTGTGTTGTGCTAATTTCACAGTGTTGTGGCTTGTTTCCGTTGTGTTGTGCGAATTTCGTTGTGTTGCGACATGTTTACGTTGTGTTGTGCGAATTTCTTTTTGTTGCGACTTGTTCCCATTGTGTTGTGGAGATTTTGTTGTGTTGTGCACTACTGGGCGCAACTTTAAACAAAGAGCAAAATAAGAGACAAAAAGGTATGTTCCAATCGACCATAAGTGCAGTGCAAAGTGGACTTTACATAGTGTTCAGCCATCAAATCGTTTCAAATCATATGGAGCATATTGCATATAATCAAAATGATCAATATATAATTTCACAGGAAGTGAACAAGGAAACTTTCTTTGATCAAAATAGAAATGTAATCAAATTTAATGAACAAAGTTCAAAAGAACAGCACTTCTGCTGAAAGATTTTTATATATATATATAT